GAGAAGAGACCTGTGATTAACCAGATAATCAGCTTCAGCATGCAATTGTGCAAAACATATTTAGAAGGCAATCATTTAGCCCAGAACCCATCATTATTTTTTTGTCTTTCTTATGTCGAGATTTTCTATATCTAATATGGATTATTAGATGAAGTGCAAGGTTTTTCCATTGAAAGCAGCTCTATTCTACTCTTGACTACGACGCCACTTGGGGACATCCAAATCAGGCACTTACACACCTGCGTCGCTATGAATAACAGCCCTAAAATAATTATCCTTTACAAATAAAGTTTTTTTTAATAATAGAATTAAAAATTTTGGCATTACAGTGTAGGTAGGTACAGGTATAATTGTGAGATTTAAATTGGTTCGAATTTTTAATATATTATGTTTTCCTATATTAAATTTTATTTGTACCCTATAACAAGCCCAAAAGTCAAAGTCTATACCGCCGTTTTTACATAGGTACCCTCCGAAGCACTAAATATTATACCGCGGTTTTTTTTGTTTAGTTTCCCAAGACTGTCCAAGAATGGATGGATATTGGAGAAAGATTTAACTCTCGTTGGCAGTTCCCTAACTGCGGTGGACTATCGATGGAAATAACACAATAAGAATAACATGCCAACTAAAACAGGCCGCATTTATTAACAATTATAAAAAAGTTGTTTTTTTTTTTTTTTTTTTTTTTTTTTTTTTTTTTTTTTTTTATGAATTTTTATATGTAGATGTGGGCAAAAACGGAAGAAACTCTGATGGGGCTATTTTAGAGTATACCAAATTCTACCAATACCTCAGAAATAATCAACTGCATTTACCTCTCAAGGAAGAAACCATAGAAAACAATGAATTATGTATTTTTGGGGGACGAGGCATTTGCTCTGCAAAAACATATACTCAGACCGTTTAGTCAATCTGAACTTACATATAAAAAAGAATTTTAACACGCTTTATCGAGGGCTAGAAATGTCGTTGAAAATAGTTTTGGATTAATTACCGCAAGATTTAGAATATTGCACACTGCTATTACTGTACAGCCTGAAAACGCCAAAGATATATAATAGCAATATGGCGTTTTGCATAATTTTTTATGTCGTAAAAGTAAATCATATTTTAACAGAAAAACAGTAGACAGTGAAAACAAAATCACACATGATATAAAAATAGATGGGGAATGGCGTAATAATGGCGTAATAATAAACTAATGTTTTGGTGGAGGCAAAACAAACTCGACAAGAATACCTGGATTTTTTTAATGGAAATGGTAGTGTGACTTGGCAAGAAAACATGATTGAGAAGGGCAAAGCATAATTCCGCTTACAATATTAATTAAACATTTAACTTAATTAAAATAATATTTTTAGTTTGTACTAAATAAAATTTTAAAGTAAATACATTATTGATTAATTTTTCCCTTTATAGGTATCATTATAAAGTTTACCTCAACACTGTGCTTAACAGATTCACTATCGCTTATGTCCTCCACTGTTTCAGAAATTTGTTGAGTACTGTTTATAATACTGGTTGACGGAGAAGGGTCATCAATATTGTCAATACTTTCCGAGGGCAATTCATGATCAGTTAAAAACAGTCATGTACTTAAAATACCTAGTGTGCTTTATATATTTCATCAACACCCGTTCCAGATCGCTTTGACTTTTCGACCTAAAAAATATATAGATTTAATAAAATAAAAAAAAAAAAAAAAAAAATTTACTTTATTATTTTTTTTTAATATCATTAATTTACCTTTTTATCACATTTTCCTTTCGAAAAGACCCCCTCAAAGATTGAATTTAGATTTAACCAATTTTCTGTTTGCTTCAGGTGAAACTTCTTCACATTTTAACCAACTCCAAATATCCCCGATTCTTTAAACTTCTGTTGGTGTACAACTCTTTATTTTTAAAAAGTTCCAACATAAAACTAAACTAAATGTAAAATTCTGATTTTTTTTTTTATTGGAAAAAAAAATTTTTGGTTTTTTTTTTTTTTTTTTTTTTTTAAAAAATCTTTTTTTTTTTTTTTTTTTTCACTTTTTTCACTTTTTCATCTTCTATATCGACAAAAGACTGCATTTGGGTGTCGATTTCTTCCTCTATCCAAATTCATCGTAATTAATTCGTAAAACACTAACTAGCCTAATAAAATATTAAGACTTAAACAAACTACCTGGCGTTTTATAACAACAGGACTTTCCTAACAGGAAACAACACACGGATATCACCTCTCAAATGAAATGACCCCAAACCACTAATACAAATTTTTTTAACACGTTTTTATCTTGTCGGCTGGAACGCCAGTACACCTGACAAGAAGGACGGAAGGTGCATGTGTCGTGCATATACCCACTAACTGGCGTTCTTTCCAGCTGGATTAGACATTCCTGCAGGAAAGAACGCTGGTGTATGGGTACCTTATGTCCAACATTTTATATTGGGTCTTTCCACCGTGCGGCGCGGCTTTTCACTCCTAAATGTTTCATAAATCATGTCCTAAAATTGCATTAGCAACTAGAGTTATTTACTATTCTATTATATAATTATAATTATTTATTATATAATATTATAATTATAAACAAGTACTAACCACAACACTACAACATAAAAAAACTATACACACATAAACTAAAATTTGTAAAATAAATGGTAAATAATATTATTATTTTTCACCCACCACTGGCACTAGCAGTAGATTCTGTTTGTCTCCGAATATATGCCTCGGCCCGTCCACAATTCAATCCCAGCATTTTTTATCTTCGTCTCTTCAACGCTAACGGCGCCGATCACACCTATCTCTTTCTCACAGGTTTGATTGTTGGACGGGCCGGGAATCCACGAGCTTGCGACGTTACTAAGTCTTTTGCGTGTTTTTAATGGACACAAATCGAAAAATGCGCTTAAAACGGTAAAATCGCAAAAAGCGCTTGAGACGCAAAAAACGCAAAACGCCAAACGCTAAAAACGCTTTCTGTGTGGCCGTGGGCTTATGGAGTTTGCTGGCGGTCGTATTATGATGTGCAACGAAAGTTAGCTTAATTTCCCGTGTGTTTTTTTTTACTTTTTCATGTTATCAATCACGTCACAAAAATGAATACTTTTGTGACGTTTGAAAAAAAAAATACATTTATAACTTTTAAAACTTAAAACTTACGAAGTAAAACAATCAATTTATCGACGATTTTTTAAGTAACTAAATTTATCAAAATTAATATATTATTTTGCATTATTGTGACATTTCTTAATGAAACATTAAAATCTGGACGCTTATGAAAATCCGCCCGGACTCAGCCTGATTTAGTAAATATCCGGGCATGTCCGGATTAATCCGGACCTCTGGTAGAGCTAAGCTGGCGGCCCCAGTGCAAGATATTTTTTGGAGCCCCTGATTAAAAAACTAAAAATAAATAATTAATATTAATTTAATAAAATATTTATCATAAATCATAAATAAAGTAAGGGCTGTTCGGGGCTCCAAGTTCCTGGAGCTCCGGTGCTTTACATCGAATTGCCCTATGATACCTACGCCACTGCCGGTATATCGCCAGCCCCAGGTAAGAATTATTATATCAGTCATTCAGTTGAACTCCAATTTGTCATGTATTTCGGTGACATAAAAACGCCAATAATATAAATAATGAATTTGGATTCAATAGTGGAATGCTTGAATTCGATAAGCCATACTGGTCACGTAATATCCACCGAAGAACAGCTAATTTTACACAACAGCCTTCTGATACTACAGAACGAAAATCATTTTCGAAATGTTTTCTTTTGGGGTAAAATATTGGGCGCAGAGAAAGACTATTACGTTGCTTATGGATACGTGAAAGACGCGTTGGTAGGCCGAATATACTACTACAGTAGGAACTGTGTTAATTGGGGATTATTACCACGACCTACAAAGGATGGTTTGTTACTGACACCTTTGTGCACTTCCAAATTTCAAGGTGAGCTAATATTTAATCTTCTTTAATATTTCGCAGAATTTATATCAAGACATTTTATTCCAATATATCGTCGATTGGAAGATAATAAAGCATGCAATTTTTAAACTGTCCAAATATTGACTTTCCTGTTGATTTTACAGTAAAGATTTGTTAAAGAAGTCTGTGTCTGCGTATGGTATACATGCCAAATTCAATCAATTTTGAACAAGCCGGTTTTCACTAATTTAAGATAAATTGAAATTTTTTAAAATAAAAAAAACTATATAAAAGAAATTTACCTTAAGTTGTCAACCTAATTTTATAATTGTCAAGTTGTATTTCCTAAACGTTTAGGCATTCTCTGATTTTAGCCCACGGCAACACAGAAAGCGTTTTTTTGCCTGTCAAGCGCTTTTTGCGATTTTACCGTTGGAAGCGTTTTATTTTCGATTTGTGTCCATTAAAAACACCCAAAAGAAGCGGCCGGTCTGCAGTTTCTCTCAAAATGTCAATTAGTAACGTTGCAAGCTCGTGGGTTCCCGGTCGCGTATTTCTAAAATATACCATGTAGAGAGCATAACGTCTCTAAGCCCCGCCCTCAAGCTTAGTTCAGCAGTGAAGATGTCTCTAACGCGGTATAGAATGGAATTGGGAAATGCGCCAAAATCGGGTATAGTTCGTAGTCGCATTATTGATAACGTAACTTTTGATGGAATAAACAGTAATATTCATTTATGTAAACCTAGTATGTATCTATTCTTTATCATTACTTTAAAAACATGGCTACAAAAAAATGAAAAAAACATTTCTTTATTAAATAATGTATATTATATTAATTTCTTTAAAATATCAGATACTTAAAAAAAATAAACATTGCTATTTCCTGTTAGACTGCAATATTTAGCATGTCCTTTGGTATTTTGGGGTATTTTCGGTAATATATTTCCTCAAGCACCATTTTTTCTTTTTTAGTCTGGTCTCTTCTGATGGCCTTCCTGATTGCCTTCTTTTTTGCGAACCATAAGTTCTTCTGGATAAAGCTCTTGGTTTTACTTTAATATACTTGTTTTTTTTTACAGTTTATTGTAGTATTTGTGAGAAATGTTTTTAACTGCTGCTCTGTGTCAATATGATGTGACATTATTATACCGTTTTAATATTTCTAAACATCTGATTACTTTTCTGTTTTTGTATTAAACCTAGCCTTTTTCCATATTTGTTTTTAATAAAGCATGAGATTCCTTAAACTCTAGAGGCCTGACAAATATAGATATAGTGTTACTTACAGCACTGTTTTTTGATGAATATCCAGCTGTTGACTCTTGTGAAGCTGAGTCACTATTCTCATCGCGAATTTTATTTCAGGTTTTATATTTTTTAACATAATCTCTAACGTACATTGCTCTGTCATCCTGATGCTTGTTTAGAATTCGCAACAGTCACAAACTGGTTAATTCAATGCAAAAATGCAAGAAGTGATAATGAATGCTCACGTGGCTTATATCACATTGTAACGCTGAGAAGCCGACTCCATAGTATACTGCATTTGGCGCAATATCCTATTCCATTCTATACCGCGTTAGAGACATCTTCAATGCATGGAGGCGGGACTTAGAGACCCTATGTTCTCTACATGGTATATTATGGAAATACGGTTCCCGGTCCGTTCAACAATGAATCCTGTGAGAAAGAGATAGGCGAGATCGGCGCGGTTAGCGTTGAAGAGACGAAGATAAAATATATGCTAGGATTGAATCGTGGACGGGTAGGCGCATACCTATATTCAGCGACAAACTCAATCTACAGTACGTCTGCGTCTGTCCGTTCTGAGGCTACGGGGTATCCGTGAGAGGGGAAACGATATTCTCTCGATGTTTTTCGTAAAAAATTAGACGACGCATCCCATCAATAAAAATTCGACAAATTTGCAAGTAGCCAATAAAATGAGTGGGCGGAGCGATTTGCGGTGACGTACTCGTCAAGTCGACGTATAAAATATATTGCTGTTTATTTAAATGTTTTTTGTCCGCATTCCTTTCATAGACACAGATCCAGCAGACGAACTGTACTGCTAGTGCCAGTGGTGTGTGTAAAAATAATAATGATTATTTGCCATTTATTTTACGAATTTTAGTTTATTTGTGTATAGTTTTTTATGTTGGAGTTTTGTAGTTACTTCTTATAATTATATTATAATAATATAACATAATAATATTATATAATAAACAATTATAATTATATAATAGAATAGTAAATATTATTAGTTGCTAACGCAATTTTAGGACATGATTTGTGAAACTTTTTGAAATGAAACTTCTTTACGCGCGCTGGTAGTAAAAATTCAAGGCCGTGACATACGAGCTGCGAGATGGCCCTGATGAGCCTACACGAGCTAGTTGTAACGAAACGTGTTGACGGCTTAGAAATACGTAGTGACGAGACGTGTGTCTGTGAGCAGTCCACAAGCAGTCCAAATTGATATTTTAATACAAATTTTGTAAAAGTGAATCAAATTATTACGTGAAAAAAAACCATTTGTTACACGTAAGAAACTATTTGTTACACGTAAAATACTATTTGTTACACGCAAAAAACTATTTTTTACGCGTCAAAAACTTATTGTTTCTGATAAAAAAAAACGAAAAAAAAAAAATAAAAAACTATTTGTTACACGTAAAAAACTAATTTTTACGCGTCAAAAACTTATTGTTTTTGGCAAAAAGATTTTTTTGCGCAAAAAAAATATTTTTTACGTGTAAAAAACTATTTGTTATGCGTAAAAAACTATTTTTTACGCGTTAAAAACTTATTGTTAAAAAACCTTTATTACGCAAAAAAAAAAAATTTACGTGTAAAAAACTTATTGTTTCTGGTAAAAAAACTTTTTTAACGCAAAAAAAAATTGTAAAAAAACTATTTTTTACGCGTCAAAAACTATTTGTTTCTGTTAAATTAAACAAATGTCAACCGCCAAAGTCATTACTGCTTCCAGTCGCATGTGTTAAAAATAGGACAAATTAAAATGAAGGCATTGTACTTTACAGGGTGGGCCAAATTGGACACTTTTAAAGGGAAACACCCTTTTTTATGTGAGAAGGACGAAAAATCATATCGGTGTGTGGAGCTCATTTTTTTATCGAAAACATGATGGTAAAAATCGCACATCAATATTTTGTAAAAATGTACATTTTTAACAAATCGCTGCAACTTTTATGCTATGAGAAATTTTGTATTTTTATGAAAACATTTCCAAAGCACCTTTTTACGGTAACATTTTAGAATATGTAGGAGGAGCGCAGGCAGATGATTAGACCGGGCCTTCAAAAACCTACGTCTGCGGTAAAAATTTATGTTTTTAATGTAAAAATGATAGCGCGCGTGTCGATTCTAACTTCATCAAGCGATGAATCACTCCCAAACATTCGTGGCGTTTACTCTACATTGGTTCCAATTCATTGATTTGAGAAATAATAATTTAAAAAAATTCTAATATTTTCGTTGTAAGTTAAGTTGTGAGGGGGAGCCCCATCTTGCTGAAAGTATATTTCACGTAAATTAGCTAAAGGAATATTTAAAAGTTCCGATACGATAGCTTCCAAGATTTACAAATAGCGGTACAGATTTAAGTTTCCCTAATATACAAAGAATTAATTAGTGGCTCTCAAAATAAAACAAGAGACAGATAGCAGTATTACTCTTAATAATTCTTTAGTTTCTTTTATTATCAATCATGGCCTACTAAAAAAATTATCTTTTAATATGTTTTTTTTTAAATATTGCCTTAAATAATGAAAACAAATATAGAGTGTTATATATTTTTGAGAAGCTTATAACAAGCCAGATCATATAATTCATAAATATACAGGGTGTGCCATTTAATAAAACATAACTTTAGTTCATATTTTTAAAAATATTATTTTAGTAGAATAACACACTACACCACTGTATTCTACGTAAAAAGTTCTACAATAAACAGTTTTCACCGTCTCAATATCTTTAACAATAACAGAGATACGGGGGGTGTCAGAAATGAAGAGGGCAATGAAAATTTTGTTTACAGCATCTTCCATTTGACAAAAAAGTGGCACAGTGTGCAAACCGCACCCTTCTATCTTCACGAATAACGGAGATACCGTATGATTTCAACCAAAATGAGACACCCTGTACATTACTTTTCAGAATTAATTCTTATGCTGAGTTTAAAGGTAGAGAAATAAACTTTACTGAAAAATGGTATTGCTTACTTAAATTTATACAGGGCTATCAAAAGTTGGCGATCTATTTTAAGGATGTATTTTATATAAAAACACACCCTGTATTTTTTAAAATAAATCGAAGCAGAGTCAAATGCTCTTTCACACTATATTAGGGTTTCCTATGCCTATCTACCTCAGATTTTGAATAAAAAGCAATTTTTAAATAAAATTGCAATCAAGATGGCTGGTGTCGCGATGGCAATTTTCTAGTGACAGTAACTATTTTCAAAGTCGACATTAGTTTATGGACATTATTATTTATAATTTATAAAAGTTTGCTTAAATTTACCTACAATAGTTTATAAGTAAGTATTCATTATTTTATCAAGAAAAATAAATCAGTATCTGCTGGCGCAACGAATAGATATGTTACTAGTGATTTTTTTACTAGTTTATTTTGTGAGGAAAATTGCTTCTTGGCCTCAAGGGCTTATGCTCAAAGATATCCAAATAGAAATCTTCCTGATAAGCGTTCCCTTGAAAAAGTACTTGTCCTATTTCACAGAGCCGGTAGTGTGGTTTATAAAAAAAGCTATTAGGCAGAAACCTGTCGTTGAAAGTGAAGCAAATGAATTTGCCGTAATTGGCTCTTTTATAGAAAATCCATATTTCTACGAGTCATCGTAAGATAAATCAAAGAACTACCTCTTCGTTTTTCTGGATAGAATAATAAATACATATTTGATAAATATTATTCATTAAAGTATTGTAGGTAAATTAAATAAAAGTAAACTGGTATAAATTTAAATAAGTCCATAAACTAAA